AGTTGAAGACGTACCGCTGTCTGTTAGAAATGCAAAGGGCACTCCGTGTTGCAGTAACGTTATTGGAGCCAAAAATGCAACAGCTCATTTCAAGCAAGCAGCAATGGATCTCACACTGAATATTTTCCCATAATGAATTCTCTGTACACCTTTTTGTCAAGACTCCCTCAATATTTGATAGTTGTTAATATTTATTATTTCTGAAAAATGAAACCCGATTTTTTGGGTTTACTAGTATATTCGTAGTTATTGATACCACCGCCAAGGTATTGAATCTTTTTTGTTTTGGATACCGTATTGAAGCGGCGTAACCAATTTGACTAATTTGTAGTTAAAATAAATGAAACGCGGATTGACGAGTAAACAACCATTGTCTAATCTGGAACTCGATTCGCAACGATGCTATATCTCATGATGGTGAATCAGTAAGAAAGGCTCAGCCCGGTGTATTAGTCCCCATGTTTTGATGATGAGTCAGATTTGTGGCTTGGATTTTGAAGCCGGTACAGATTTGCTGGGCTGTCTTGTACAGATATATACGGGGTGGAAGTACGGAGTACACCGTAGGTAGAAATACGGAATAGAAGAAAGGGATAGATTGTTGTTATGAGGTTTGCGGCTTAATTCGGCTTGCCGTGCGTGTAGTAGACGTTACCAGTTTCGGCACCGCACATTGACTTGCTGTTGAAATTACTGCTGGTCTGTTTCGCAATGACCGGCGCGTAATCGATCTGATTGGTCATCCAAGGGTCATTCGAGAACTGCGTTGATAGATGTTTACGACGGTGGTGAATTGGCTAAACTGTTCTCCGCAAACAACCTGTTTTGTTCTGCGAAATCGAGTAGCCACGGACCATTATTACACAGTGTACGAAACCCGTAGCAGGCGAAAGCCTGTCTGTTTGTGCCGTCCCAGGAGCCTACTTTCCATTTCAGTCACCAACCACCACACATTTTGGTTACGTCTATGAATCTTGTTAATTATAGTTTGTAGACCAGCAATAAATCCATTCACAAGCATCGTTAATGTTCAATATGGGTGCGTAGACGGCATTGGTTTAAACAGGCCCTCGCGAACGCGCGTAAACAAGGCGTGAGTTGACTGCCTACGAGACGAGAGCGGCATCGCTTCTAGGGCCACACAGTGTCTTTGCGAATTATCCGTGGGACTGCTGTACAGCAAGCATTGCTGTTCAAACAATAACTTTCATCGACCTTGATATGATTTGAGGGTTGCAGACTTCTGACAGACAGCTTTTGAAAGAAGAATGTTTATGCCCATCTGCATGGAGCTTCACGAGGTTATTTAACTCAGACGGTACCTGAGTTACCAAAGTTCTCGCTACTAACCTTTGGCCCTCGTAGGTATAACTACATGGTAGCGATGATTTTATAACTTATGTGTCATTCTCGCTTCATCATGGGATCTTCATAGTTTTATTATGTTACGATTTTATGGGTTGCAACTTTGCCTGCCCCTCCGTGCGGATAGTCTGCCGTTTTAGCGTAGGGCGCTTGTTGATGTCAGCACTTGCTCTTGCAGTCGGATCATTATATCTATGGTTGCTACATAATTTGCCCGATTCAGTCCTTCATATTGTATACCATTGGGTAGCTGTCTCTCAGTAAAGTGCAATGTCCCAGTAAAACTATTGAATTATTCATTTCTGATTTTTGTGACGAATGTGCGATGGCAGCGCGTCAGCTAGCGGTCTGCGGTCAGAAATTTAAATTATGTCACTGGCCGATGGTCATCTGTATGTATTGATGCCCATAACATAGCCCATCAATGGAAACTCTAAGCGAGTACAATTCAAAAGCGTTGCCAAATTATGAATATCAGTGATTTATTATTTTATCATTCCATACTGGTGACTGCACGAGATCGCCAATTCAGCGCGCTGCCATTTATTATATCGAGTCTGAGTTAATATATTTTCAAGTGGTCTCAAGTATAAGTTACTTGATTTAATCCGTTACACTCTTGGAAGTTCTTGGTGCGATGCAGAAGCTTTTGTCTCAAATATCAATTTCAACGTTGGCATCGTAGTCCGACGATTTCTTTGTTACAATTATGGCAAGAACGTTCAATCGGCACACGTTAACATGAACATCCGCTGGTTTGAATTTATAGAACTTTCAGAAGCACGTCCTTATTTGCCTTGTGACTAATTTCATCATGTCTCATATCAATGAAAAGCTCTCTCTGAGTATGGTACTTATTTCAAAATGTTGCATTTATAAGTTTTGCTTAATGATTGCACGATATTGACGACGCGAAGTCATTATATTTCAGTGCGTAGCCATCTAGTTGCGGGTTGAATCCATGTAATTGACTGATAGATAGAAGTACGAGATGCTTGATTTAACCGTCATTCATCCATCAGTGGATTGTCGCACTTGTGAATTTAAAAAATTCCATGTTATTTTACAGTTTCATCATGATGACTGCATCAGGTAGGACGTCAGTTAAGATCGATGGTGTGAATGACGCAATTGATGCAGCTGACCATTGTCCAGTTATACAGATTCAATTCGTCGACTGCAGGACCGAGCGCTGAGACTAACCAGTAGTTTGAGCCACAAATGACCCATTCCACCCTCCGCCAGCCACACTCTGAGAGAATCTACCGCTACCTGTCCAGTAATCTTCATATCTGAGAGTCGTTCCTATTGGCGCAAGATGGCTGGCAGATAGGATCACGGGTGGCATGATTCGTAGATGTTCATTTGGAAATCATTCTAAGCGGCAGCGCCGATACGTTTTTGCAGTGATGATTTAATATAGCCTTCCTTGGCGCCCTTCGCAAAATCAGTGTCATAACTGCGTCATGGAAGGAGAGGCACGATGGCCAAACTCTTAGTAGGCGTAAAGTTTACTGTGCAAACATGGTATCAAAAAATCTTTCTTTTCTATAGAAATTGAATAAGCACATTTGAAAATTATACGAAATTAACAACAAATCCAATGACAGACAGGCAGCTGTTTAATTTGAGAGCTGTAATATGTTTTCCTATACAGAAGACTAAATGGTTGGCCTTCATGACTTCTTTTTGGATGCTCCACATGCATAATTGATTGCAAATGGGATGTTTCGAGTTGTCATTTACCCCTCCCCCAATGATTATCTGCCTTTACTAATAAGCCGAAGTTTTCTATGTCGCTTCTAAAGATAACATGTGCAGGTCATTTCCTGACTTTGCGCTGGGTCACCTGTATATAGAGGCCTTTCAAACGCGCCGCGGCTCCATTGTATAAAAACTTTTACAATGCATGTAAGCAAAAACCGCTTAACCGTTTTTCAATGAGTGCAAACTACATTTATTTTATTTTTGAAAATCCTCGCACTTTGAGAAAGAGTTTTGCATTTCAAAGATAGGGCTGGCAGCAATGGCTGTGAATCGAAAATTATAAAAACTATATTGAGGTAAACGTTTTTCTAATTATATAAATATTTTGATGCAGAAACAGACAGTGCGCAACCACTATCATTCCAGAATAGGATCCACAACAATCGCGCTTCTTAGGATTGCAAGCTCAGTGTAAAATGAGTAATACTTGGTGTAGTTACCCATTTTTGACAAGCCTTCAGTGCTACAACAGCGACTCCGGAGCATCCATTCTATACGTCATCGCCAACTGTCCCTGGAAGTACCACTTTGTCGGTAAGAAAACAGGAGTCTATACGCTATACTCGCAAGTTAGCTTAAGAAATCGTTCTTATAAATACTTAGTCCTGGTCAATGGCAAAGAAACAGGGATCAGCGACGCACTGTAGGTTCCACAAAAAGAAGGGCGTCATGAGCGCATGTAAGGAAGGCCAACATCCACTAACAAACATACATCGGGGCAGAACATCAACAGTAGAGTATGGATAGCGCTACGGTGCTACTCAATCATGCTCTCTCCTTCTCTTCCACGTAGCTATGCTGATTCACCTGACACAGAAAAATGCAACCAGCGTGTCTTTGGTCGCAATCGAAAACCATGTTTTTTGAATTTGAATTTTGCCGTTCTTAAGCCCATTTGTGTTGGTTTATGCATTTGGTGCCCCAAATCGTTAATCATTCCAACATCCATGGAAAATGGAGGCCGAGGAATTTCCGCATAACTCGCCAATAGCCATATTTTGACTTTACTGTCAAAAATGAATAGAGGATTAGCACAATTATTAATTTAGGCACGGGTGGTGAAGAGCTGAGCGAATAACGATGGTGGAATTTTGAATACATCATCGAATTTCCTATTGCATGCTTTTGCCGATGAGTCACTTTGTTCCGGTTTTTCTGTGCGAGAAACAAAGTTCATGCATTGACGTCAAAATAGGAGTTACTCCTTGTACTGAACATACTGAACATTGCAACAGGAAATCAATAATCAGGTTGATAAAGGATAGCTGCTATACAAGGTGCCTTGCATAGTACAGCATGGCCGAGCACCTCTTCCATTCTTGCATGATCAGATCAGAATACCATGCTTTCTCCAGTTCTACGCAAGTCACCGTCTAACTACACTTTTCTCGACCATTTGGGCTGAAGCAACGTGTGGCTGATTCCTTGCTGAAGGGAATTCGCGGTTAAGACTAGGGTTGTCCTTTGAACTTACTCAAAGACGGCATCTGCCGAGGGTAAACTCGATTTCTTAGATACTGTACCACCAGGCCACAATTATTTGAAAAGATTACATCGAACCGTTTATACACTTCGTCGTGCTTCTGACTTGCCACTCCATGTGCAGATTCATTCTGTTGAGCTGGCGACACCTGGATGCCGAGATAGAGACGTCTTGTCTATCTTTCGGTGCATTTAAACTCGTGCTGTTTGCTGTTGCTTTTGTCATGCACAAAAGAGATCTTTCCCTTTCATATGAGAGCACGTTGAGCGAACGAAACGTCTGCTGTCTTGACTGTATCTCTGACAAATATTTACCTTAGCTGAAGTAAGTGATTATGCCTGTCTGCTCGCCTCATGAAGTTTATCAGCGTTATCAAGTTGGTGATATGCTGCCGCTAGCCTTGCAACGGTTGTCGAGCGCTTTTGACAAACAGTTACGAACAGAACGGAGAGCTGGGCAGTTGCTGGAACGAATTCCGTGGTGGATGCAACTCATCAACGTGCACATTTTTCTGGCCGGCCTTTGGGTTGTCTGCGGTTTCTCTGCCGCCGTGTGTTTTGGGTTCGTTTTCAAAAACTATACCGCGGCGTGTTGGGCAGTGGTATCCGTTGGCTACGCAGGTGTGACGCTGTGGCTGCAC